TGAGGCTATGTGTATATATATATATATATATATATTACACACACACACACACACACACACACACACACACACACACACGATGACATCTGTTTTAGAGTGAAGTCCAACATAAAACATAGCACAGGCTGGGTTTATGAAATAATGTTCAGTGGCTTTAGCTATGAAACAAAAACGTTCTCCTTCCTTTTGTGAGCCTCTGAAGAAATTCTATGCTGAGTGAATATATATACTGACTGTAGCCTCCTAGCCTCCAAACAGTTATAATCCAAATAATCAAGCAGGAAATCACCAACAGAGGCACATTCTCACATGTGACATTTACATTTGATGGTTTCCAGTTGCAGAACTGGAAAAGCTTATGCTAAAGAGATAAGTGCAAATGCCACTGCAGCGCACACATAAAAGATTCCAGTTCTTTCTCTGAAACATTATCAATGTGCCATATACCAATTAACCAAAGCATTATGACCACTCACAGATAGTGAATAGCATTATCCTATAAGAAAGGCACATGTATACAACTAGCTTTTTACAACAGCATATGAGACTAAAATTAGAATAATTAAATACAATAAAAATAGGTCATTGGGCTAATTATGTCAGAACACAACCAGCCAGGGCTGGTCACGCTGGGGCAGGTCTACATTCAGTGTAACGTTATGTTAGCCATGGAGCATAATTGCAAAATAGACAGGCAAATTTGGTAAGAAATCCAAATCACAGCAGGATGAAGCTAGACAGAAATCAGAAGCTAGACAGGCCAAGCTGGACCTACTTACAAAGCCTACAACTGTTAATGATAAGGTTAGTACAAGCCAGTGTGATGATGAGGTCACGGATTTCAAAATGACTGAAGCAAAGCATGGAATAAAGAGGACTCCTGCCCCATGACTGTGTTATGGGCTGCTTTGTAAGAACATATTTATTTAATGTTACTCTGGTGTGGATTAAATACTCTGAATATAATGTTCATGTGTAGTAAGGCCCCAGATATGATGCCATGCTTGCTACTGATTGAACGGATTAGAGGCTGTAACCTCACAGTCCTAATGTATTTTGCATCAATTGCACTAGACTTTTATAAATCGCACTTTCAAATGCATGTCGTCTTACTTTTTTTTTTTTTTTTGGTCACTACAAACACACAACACAATGTATTTCCTCTAGGCTGCTCCATTATTATGAAAACTACACAAACACATGGGTCATTGAGGCAACGTTTTCATTCCAGGACTTCGTCTCCCCTCAGAACTTACAAATCAAGCAATGGGGAGCTCCCTAGAACTGTACGGTCAAAAAGCACCTATTCCTGCAGACCAGGTTCATCTCCATATAACCATGGTGTTCCCCCATGACAGCAGCCTCTTTAAGAACTGGCCACTGAACACTTTGTCTAGAAAGGGTTTAAGGAACATGACAAATCTGAGATGCCCTGAACACTGCACAAAGGATGTTCTGCTGAAGTCTCAGTGCCACATACCACAGGGTGCCTTCAGAGGTCTTGTGAAGTCCGTACCCTGGTAGGTCGGAACTGTTTTGTAATGCAAGTGTATTCAGCAACGGGCACACTCCCCTACCGTCCAAAACATGCTTTGTTGAAAAGCTGATGTAACCACTTGGCCTGTTGCACTACTGTTCATAACAATCATCTTGCATTCAATAATGACACAAGTCTGTTGCTACTGGCTCATTTTAGACCAAACAAAAAGATAATTTAACATTTAATTGCTGTGGATGCAACATTAACATTACTTGATGTAACCCTACACAGATAGACAGGGTTCCAGCAGTCTGAATTTACCTAAATCAAGTAGGTGTCTTCCGCAGTTCAGCCAACCCAGCAAATATTTGTTGCAAATATTTCAGCGTGGACCAAAATGGTGAACTGACCAGCTGACACTCCTGTGCCTAGTGCCCCACCATGTGACCACAAATCTAGCCCTATCCTCTGCTGCATAGTTAGGGAAGTACACCATAGTTAAGATAATTCATTTTCAAGGTTGCATAAAAAAAAACAAACACACAGATTCTTCCAACTCCAGCCTCCAAATAGGCAGATAAATTATATACCCTCCTTCGCTCCAACAGTACTTTTGGCTGCATTTAAAAATAGCACTCTACTTCCTGCGCTGGCACTGAGCATTGGCACTGGTCGAAAGTCGTAAAGTGCAGAATCATCCAAGTGAACATAACTCCTATAGAGAGACTGGGCTGTAAAGGAGCTGGAGGACGTTGCTGTGGAAGAGGACATCTGGCCTGGAGAATAGATGGATGAATATGTAAATGAGTAGAAGGATGGACAGATGGAAATCAGCCCTTCTATATGAATCTATTCCCACCACAGGCTGGAGGGCTCAAATTTAAAGACATCCAATCATCCCAGGGCTGATAAAAACAGGATTGGGAATGACATAAAATAAATCTGAAACGAATTTGGGACAATAGTTGAAAAAAACCCGTTGCTAACATTACAATGAACGGCATGTTTTGTGTAGTAAACTTATTAAACCTCCTTAATTTAGTCTTGTTCATTGGGTTTAACTAGCAGATAAATACAAATTAACGAATGAATAAAATAATGCTACCAATTTTCTACTGACTAACCATGTATTTACTGTAAATTCAAGTAAGTATACTATAGGCTACAGGAAGTATAGCAAAACTACGACTGCATCAAATGCCTCAAGCTCAAGAAAATATAAGCCAATCATTTGTCACTGAATCCTTTGTATGATGTTTTATCTTAAAGGTCACTGAATGATTTTAATAATAATGATAGACAATAACAAACTGGAAAACCAAAGACTTTAGATGTGGGACAATCCACACTTATTTCAGGATGAATTCAAATGAATTATGGGACAATTCTGGGAGGAGCTACAGCTACAAACATTTCTTTTATCTTGTTATAATTAGCCTTGTGTCATTGTGGTTGTGTTTAATTGCATATGATGCTTTAACTGTTTGTTAGTGCACTACTGTACGTGTGTGTAGATCCAGTTAATGATCTTTGCTTCTCTGTGAACCACAGTGTATTCCCCTTAGAGTGAAATGTGTTATGTAAATAGGCTTATTGTTAAAGCTGTAATCATTGTGTCTGGCTGTAAAAACAGTCTTAAACACACTGAATTCGGGCCAAAATGCTCATGAGCCAGGGTGGGGTAGCACTCACACATACACATGCAATGCTTCAAAGCTTTAATATCCTACTGTTCACATGCCCACTTACAGCTACAGACTTTATTTCATTGTATTTTAAGGGTAGCACAACACTGTGAATGATTTGTGGACATTTGGTAGCAGGGTTTGGAGCTGGGTTAAAACACAATCTGTGTGTGAGATGAACTAGATGAATGCTTGATTCTCCTCTGATCCTGTAAGAGCCCTGCAGTGCCCTGTATTTTATCTGCTGTCAAGAAGTTTCACTTTTATGTACAGTGTGTGTGATTAGATTGGACCCCTTTTTATGCAGAGTTTGTGGCAAACTGCCAGTGTTTTGACCCTTCTTCAAAGTGGCTTTTCTTTCCATTTAAGC